TATATATATATATATATATATATATATATATATATATATATATATATATATATATATATATATATATATATATATATATATATATATATATATAAAAATGTAACAAAAAGATTTATTAAAAAACGAAAAAAAGAAAGAAAAATAATAATAAATAAATTAACGAAAATGCTAGATGCAGGACTAGAAATGCTGAATACATTTTGGCCGAAAATTGCATATACGAGTAGTATAGTACTTTTGCCTCTCCAGAGATATATTAAAGGATGATTTTAACTTGGGTTTATCCCCAATTTATTTGGTAGCGAGAGGTATGTAAAATAAGCCCTAAATCATATACATGTATGGTGGATTTAAGAGCGAGCATCTTCGAGGTTATGTTGATTGTAGCATCAAATAAACTAACTACAATCTTGATGCTCCAAATTGAATATTTTGATACATATGCTCCCCACGTTGAATTATTATTACATTAACCTCAGATTATTTTAAGTTGCTAGTAGTAGTTCATTACATTTGATGCTTTCAAGAAAATACTTGTTTATTCAATTATTTGTTGGCGAAGCTTCCCTACCAAGAAGTGGTAATTGGAACCTGAAAACTGCCAGTTGTTTATACATATTTCAACTCTGCAATTTATAGTTTAATATTTTGGGCTGCAGCCAGCTTGAATAAACTAGTAAAATACTTCTGTCTGTTTAGATCTTGATCTATTCTTTTATGTTTAGATCTCGAGGTTTTAATAATTTTATAATAGTTTATTCAATTATTTGTTGGAAAACTTCCGAAAAAGTTGCCCCTTGGCATTTTCCAAAGGAAAAGAAAAATGTCAGCACCTTTTCCCACAGAATGGTAGTTGGAACTAACATGTAATTTGCAATTCTTTATACAAATTTGAACGTGTTTTTCCGTTATTTATTGATAAGAAATATTTAATTTAATACTAGGATAGTAGGTGGCCTATTTATACGTATGATCAGGAGCTATTTTATGGATCAATACCATAAGAAAGAAACCATCCCATAAACACACATATATTATTTACACACACTAAGAAAACTGTTTGCAATCATGGTGGATGCTATTGTTTCCGTTGTGGTGGAGCGGCTTGCAGCTACCTTAGAAGAGCAGGTCCGTAAAGAAATAAATTTGGTGAGAGGCGTTGAGAATGAGATTCGGAGTCTTTCCGATGATCTGAAGAAAGTTAGAAACGTGTTGGAAGATGCGGAGAAAAAGGGGTATAAGGACAAAAGCGTCAAAGATTGGCTGACCAGGCTCGAAAACACGACCTACGAAATGGACGACGTGTTGGACGAATGGAACTACTCTGTTCTCAAATTCCGGATCGAACAATCGTCTGATGATCATGATGTTGTTCCTCCTAAGAAAAAGGTATGGTCCTCCTTCATCCCGTCTCCATGTTTATGTTTCAAGAAAGTTATCACTCGTCATGCAATTGCCTTGAAAATTGAAGAAGTCAAAACACGATTCGATCTAATATTGGCTGAGCAAGCTCGATTTGGTTTTCATGAGACCAAATCTCAGCCCAATGAACCTTCTCACCAATCTTCAAGAGTTCAAACTACTTCTTTAATTGATTTAGAGAAAGTTTGTGGTCGTAAATTTGATAGTGAAAATTTGGTGAGCAAACTAGTGGGTGGAGGTGGTATTGAAGAAGAATTAGGCGTCGGTGTTCTGTCTATAGTGGGTGTTGGGGGGCTTGGGAAGACAACTCTTGCTAAACTAGCTTATAACGATAGTCGAGTTGAGAAACACTTTGAGTTAAGAATTTGGATATGCGTTTCGGATCCCTTTAACGAGGTTGAGATTGCGAAAGGGATTGTCGTGAGTGTGAAAAAGTTGGATAACCCCCCGAATACTAACCAATTAGAAATGGTACTACAAAGTCTAACAGAGACTATTTCGGGGAAAAAGTTTCTTCTTGTCCTGGATGATGTTTGGACGGAAGACAGTACCAAGTGGGAACCTCTGAGAATTTGTCTCAAAGGTGGTGGTTTGGGTAGTAGAATTTTGGTGACGACCAGAAACGAAAGGGTTGCTGTAATGATGGGTTGCGTTAAGAATGACATCCACCATTTAGGACATCTATCCCATGAAGAGTGTTGGTTATTGTTAAGTCGGATAGCGCTTTCTGGAAAGAGCGAGAATGAACGTGAAAAATTCCAGAACATAGGTAGGAAGATAGCGAATAAGTGCAAGGGGTTGCCACTTGCAGCAAAGACTTTGGGAAGTCTTTTGCAGTTTAAGAATAGTGTGGAAGCATGGGACAACGTATTGAATAGTGAAATATGGGAATTGGAGGAGGTAGAAGATGACATATTCCGCCATTTGCTTCTAAGTTACAAAGAATTGTCCCCAATGCTTCAGCGTTGTTTCTCATATTGCGCTATCTATCCTAAAGATACCGTAATTAGCGTGGCAGACATAATAAAAATATGGTTTGCAATGGGTTACCTAGGATACAGCAGTGATTGGGAAGTTAGAGGGAGAGAGTATTTTGATAAGTTAGCAATGCGTTCTTTGTTTCAAGATTTTAGCAAAACATCAAATTTGGATGAGGATTTGATAAAATCATTTAAGATGCATGATATAATACATGATTTTGCTCAATTTCTTAGAAATAATGTGGGATCAAGAATGAAGGAAACAAATTGCCAAACCTGTAGCCCTTTGTTAGTTTCCCAAGTCGAAAAATACCGTAGCCTTTTTTTCACTGGAGAACTTTATGATCCACATTTTTGTGATGGCCTCACAAGTGTGAGGTTGCTAAGCCTAAAGGGACGTTGCTTCGGAGGTATTCCGAAAGAAATAGGAAAGTTGATCCACTTGAGGTGGTTGTATTTGAGTTCGAGTCACTTTATGGCGAAAGACGCTCTAAAAAGCATTTGTAAACTTTACAACTTGCAATTTCTTTTGGTGGAAATGTGCGACCTAACTGAGATTCCGCATGAAATTGGGAATTTGACTAAATTGAAAGAATTGAACTTAAGCTCTAATCGCCTGATAGAGGAGTTGCCGGAGAGCATGTGCAATTTGCGCGAATTAGAAAGCTTGAATATTAAATCATGCGAGGGTCTTGTTCGACTTCCCCAAGGGATCCACAGGCTCGTAAACCTCAAGCACCTCTATAACAAACATACCGATTCTTTGAAGCAATACCCTCAAGGACTAGCCCAGTTAACCAGCCTTGTCACATTGAAAGAATTTCATAATCAAGATGGGAACAAGTTGGGGTTGTTGAAGAACTTAAACCGACTTAGCAATTCCCTGCAATTGATGATCGAATTAAATAGTGGTGATGATTCGGCAGTGGTGGAGGATGCTCGTGAAGCGGAGTTGAGGAATAAAACGCGCATTCGGAACCTTCGAATAATGTTTTCTGAATCAACAATGGATGGTGAAGAAGTAGTGAAAGAGGCATCGGCTTGGAATGACATACTAGATGCTCTTGAGCCACATCCAAACCTTCGAGAGCTGACTATTGATGAGTATAAAGGCTCCAGACTTCCGGAATGGATTGTGTCCCCCCTCAACCAACTCACATCTATCAAGCTCTTCTATTGTGAATGCCTTTTGTCGCTGCCGCCGCTGGGTAAACTACCGTTACTGAAGACTCTTTGGATTATTCGTTTAACTGAGTTGGAGTTTGTTGGGCGTGAATTCCTCGGAATAACAACAACTACTTCATCGGTGAGTACTAGTATTATTGGTGGATTTCCCAAGTTGGAGGAACTGAAATTTGGTGAATGTTCAAAGTGGAAGGAGTGGGAGGACATTACTGCCGAAGAAGAAGAAGAAGAAGATTGTGAGGGTGTCTCAATAATGCCTTGCCTGACACGTCTGACAATCCGAAACTGCGAGGCATTGAAGAAGCTGCCGCAACGCCTCATGCGAAAGGTGTCGTCGTCGAAGCGGTTGACTATTAGAGGTTCAGATCAACTGATACAAGTCTAAGGTCAACACTGGAAATCCATATCACCTCGACCTCAAATTTTGATTAGTCTTGTGTAATTCAACAACATAACTTTTCATTTTCATTTTCTACCACATATATTTTTATAATGTATTTCCCTAACTCTGTTGTAACTTTTGTTCTCTTCATTAAAAATACGTTTCTCTATCTTTTTCGACCTTAACTATCTGTATATCCAATTTCTATCATTATTTTTTATGTTAATAATAAAAATAATATGCACATCAATAAAATATGATAATTTAAAATAAAATAAAAGCAATATGAAAACTAATAACTAATAAATCCTTGTGCAACTGGACCAGTATTCAGCCACAAGCTTTGCAAATGAAGATTCTGTCTCCATTAGCTTCAAAGGCTCATCATACTCAACCACCTTCCCTGCAATAATTCTCAATAAATTAAACCAAAATTAAATCTCATTATATTTTTTATAAATTAAAAAAAAAAATTCAATATTATTTTCACTGTTGACGAAAAACGGACGCATAATACCGTAAGAGAGGAGCATGACCATGTCACTGTCAATAACCGTTGGAACTCTGTGTGCCACAGTTATTACGGTACACTCTGCGAATTCTTGTCTGATTATCTTCTGTAATATCGAATCCGTCGATGAATCGATCGAAGCCGTTGCTTCGTCGAGAACCAATATTCGGTTCCTCTTCAGAAGCACTCTTCCTAGGCAGAACAGCTGCCTCTGCCCCATGCTCCAATTCTCCCCTTCGTCGCTCACTGTTCCATCCACGAAAATCCCGTTAAAAAAATAAATAAATAAATAAAATCGATACTCGATGCGAACGAGGATTTAGAGTTGAAGCTCTAGACTTACCTGAAGATTCAAGCAAGTTTGGGAGTTTACTGATTGTATCTTTAAGTTGGCATTTCTCCAAGGCCTGATGAATAAAATCGAGAACCGGTTAATATAGTGGAGTTCGAGATTTTTCAACGTATCGTAAGGCGAAATAAATGTACGTACCTTCCATATTTGATCGTCGGAGTATAGTCCTAATGGATCAAGATTTGTTCTAACACTTCCTCTGAAAAGAGTCGGTTCTTGAGGAATAATGCTGAGTTTCAACCTCAAATCCCGCAAGCCGATCGAGCAAATATCGATCCCATCTATTACAATTCTGCCACTGTAAGGCTCGACCAATCGAAACAATGCGCTAATCAATGTCGTTTTCCCACTTCCGGTCCTTCCGACGACCCCCACTCTCTTCCCTTCTTCGAAAGTGCATGTTATTCCCTTTAGCACTATCGGAGCATTAGGCCGATATCTTATCTGAAAAATGAAAAAAAAAAAAACATAATAAAATGCTATTTCTCTACACCGATCGGATTTTATTATTATTACCTTTAGATCGAGCAACTCAATTCTGCCTTTTGTAGGCCATGATATTTGTGGTCCTTTATCTTCTATGATCGCTGGAGGCTCGGGCCGTATATTCATATACTGTTTGATCCTTTCGACGGAAACTATATAATTGGCTAAGCTACTATACCATCTCGATAAAAACACTTGCGTGCCGGTTAGTGCAAATGCGTACGAAAGAGAGAGTCCCACGAGCCCTGTCGTAATAACCGAATATATAATTTTAATACAACATCAAGAATCTGAAAAAAAAATGTACAGTTAAACTTATACCTGGAGCAATAGAGTTATTGGGAACCAAGATCAAGAAAATGGCGGCGGTGAAAAGAGTGAGATTTTGGAGCGATTCGGTTCTCAAGACGAGCCATTCCAGCGTGGCGTTTGAGGATAGAAACACTTTTGCGTCTTTATCGACGAGTTTAAGGTAGTTTGAGGAGAAGTTGTCAACTGCTTTAAACGCTCGTATTGTAGTGACACCGAGTGCTGTTTCGGAAGCGTAGTTCATTACGGGGGCTTTCGTAGTTCCGTTGATTCTCATTAATTCTCCGGCCGATTTTTGATAGTATCCCTTCATTAAGACAAGAGAATTTCAGACATACATATACACATATATATATACACACACCGCGTTGAGGTAAGATCGAATATGATGCAAATAAAGACTTACCTGGACATATTTAGAAGAAACCATAGCAAAAATGCCCACAAAGAGAACTTGCCATGTAACCGACGCCATAATGCCGATTGTTACTAGCATCTCTGTTAAGGCAGCCATCACAAACGCAAACCCGATAGGGATGTCAAAATCTAGTACACTTAGATCAGACGATGCCTGAAAAAAAAAAAAAAAAAGGAGTTCGATCATTACAAACACACTACTAAATGTGTGACTCGAAAAAAAATAAAAAAATAAATAAAAAAACTTACACGAGTGAGTATTCTTCCTACAGGGGTAGAGTCGAAGAAGAGCATCGGAGCACTAAAGACTGAGTTAATAAAACCCGAGAAGAATGCTTTCGAAGCTCTCAGCCCTAAAAGAACCGCGAAAAGTGATCTGAAGTACACGAACACAGCACTAAGTGACGAAATTAGAGTGTAAATCCCGACGACGAAAACGCTGCTTCTTTCGGTATTTCGAACCGAAAAGGCTAGCCAGAAACTCGCAGCAGCTTGCAAACCCACAAAACCAGATTGAGCTATTGTAGACGAACAGCAATAAACGAACCCCTTCGAAATCGAGACGTAATCCCGGAAAGCCTTCCACCCAACATCTCCGATCTCCTTCTTCTCTTCCTCCGTCAACTGAGTCCGACGAGTGTTCGTTAAATTTTCTTCTTCTCTTTCTTGTTCACTACTACGATGGTTTTTATTGTTGTCGTGCTGATCTAGATTTCCGTTTGAACCAGCTGAGGAAGCGTCGAACGATCCTATGGTAGTTTTATGAGCGAAAACAAGTTGTTCGAAGGTTGTTCCGTCGATCATCAGTTCGTTGTAGCTTCCCGATTGAGTAACTTGTCCTCCTTCCACAACCTTAACACCAAATCGAAACTATTTTTAAGTTAAACCATATTATGAATCAACAAAAGAAATAAAAATATTCGTTCGGTGACGATTATTCGTTTACCAGAATTTTATCGACATTATTTAGAAACTCCACTTGATGAGTCACAAGAATCACAGTCTTCTTTGCTAAAGCAGTCATTACACAATCCTGCAGTAATTATACATAAACTTGGTAATAAGAAAATAATTCCATTATTACATGATGATATCGTATAAATGATCTTACGTTGAAAAGTGATGCCGCTGTATGCGCATCCAGAGCACTAAAAGGGTCGTCGAAAAGATATATATCCGCATCGTTATATACTGCTCGAGCGAGCTGAATCCTCTGCTTCTGTCCACCGCTCATATTAAGGCCTCGTTGTCCGATCTCAGTCAAATCTCCGTAGTCGAAGGTTTCGATATCTTTATCCAACGCGCACACTCTAATCGCTTCTTCGTATTTTATTTTGTCCATCGCCTTTCCGAAGAGCACGTTTTCACGAATAGTCCCGCTTTGAATCCAAGAAGCTTGAGACACGTATGCCACCGATCCAACAACGCTAACCTGGACGAAACAAAATACTAAATATCAATTCAACATTAAAAAATTCGGCCTAGGATTCAAGAAATACGGTAATGTTAACACTTACGGTTCCGGATATTTTCGGTATTTCGCCGAGTATAGCGTACAAAAGCGACGATTTCCCAGCGCCGACGGGCCCGCAAACTGCGATTTTCTGCCCGGGTTTTGCTTCCAATGTAATACCTCCTAAAGTTGGAGTTTCTGTGTCTGAATCCCAACTAAAACAACCATTTTGAATACGAATGGCGTGTTCTAAATTTTCCTTCGGAGCTATTATTACCGAATCTTGTTGCTTGAGTTCGTCTTCGAGCAGAAACGAATTAATTCTGTCGAACGAAACCTTAACCTGAATCAGAGAGGAAATAGCTTCGGGTAAGAACCTGACAGGCTCGGACATGCTCCTCAATGCAGCCAACACCGTGAAAATCGTGCCGGCATCTAACGGGGCACTCTTGAAGAACACGCATCCAAAGAATATGACCGAAGAAACAATCGTCGGGGACATCCAATACAACACTGTTGTATACGTTTTCATGTACTGAGTTCGAGACAGCCAATCGAACTCGCTTCTCCTATACGATTCAACCATGTTCTTGAAATTCTCTTCCCACGACTGCAGCTTGATTATCTTCATGTTGTTGAGGATTTCAGACAACGACCGCAGTCTCTTGTCCTGAACGATCATGAACTCGGTTTGATATTTTTGGAGAAGTCTCGCAAATGGGACGTTGAAAAAACCAAACACAACGAGAGGTACTAAACCAGGAAGCACGCCTACGCCGACAACTGCCGATAAAACAGCTATCGCCAAGAAAATTTGGACGACCGAAGCCCAACCGACGTGAAACCACATCGGGAAATCTCCCATTCGATACGCGTCGACGGATATATAGTTCACTATTTCTCCCGTCGAGTGCCGTCGTCTCCCGAAACTCGAGAGCTTGAGCTGCTTTTGGTAAACCGCCACCATTAAAGCTGACCTCATTCGCATTCCTATTCTTCTTGAATAGAAATAGAAATGCCGATTCGATAAAGACTCGAAAATCTTCAAGAAGACCAACAACCCAACCAAGAAAAAACCCTTTTTCGGATTCTTGTTCTCGAGATTCGAGTAGTTGACAAAAGCGTAAAGAAACAACGGAGTCGCCACAACTGCAATCGTCCTGATAAGTACGCAGATTCCGGCAAGCGCCATGTTTTTCCAGTAAACTCTTGTAATAACACCGAACGCCAAATTGGTCGAACCGTTTGCGCCCTTTTCGGTTTCGAGTTTCTTCCATTCGTCGGTGAATTTCTTGTACGCCACAAGGGCTTCATCTTCCGATCCCAGAGAAGAAACGTCGTCGAGATTCAACGGTCTAGAATTCCCCAAACGGAGTAAAGGGTTTATCCAAGAAAATGTCAATTTACTTAAAAACGAGGCCTCGCCTAAATCGAAATCGAAACGCCTACTCTCGGGCGGCAGTAGAGATTCCAAGAAGCTACTATCAAATGCAGGTTGAGATAGAATATTATATAGATTCCTTAAAGCGAAAACGAAAAGAAACAAACTCGCAACCCAAGGTGCGAATTCAAGAACCTCTACGCGGTGTGATTTTACTAAATCAACTGCGTTTAGTGCCGAAATCGACACGAAAAAGAGGATCCACCAAGCCGATTTTAGGACTGAGGCTCGTTTGGATCCTCGAACGAGCGAAGACACCGATAAGGTTGTCCAAATGAGTCCCCGAAAAAAGTATGCAAACCAATTCGTACGACTAAAATCGTTGCTTTCGATGATATAAATAACAACCCCGTAATACTGTATACTCACAACAACACAAGAAACGAAAATCGCTATACTAATCCAATCTCTCCTCCTCTCTCTAGAACCACTCTTCCTCGTTAAAATCAAAACCATATAAAAAACAACGGCAAAGAATAGATTCGAGTAATCTACGATGGTTCTCGATTCGTCCGAAACTCCTCCATGCAACCATGAAAAATCCCCTGAAAACACCATTTTATTAAAAAAAAATTAAAAAAATCATCAGAGTAAATATTAAGTGATGTGTATCAATTTAAAAATTCCAAAAAAAAAAAAAAAAAAAAAAAAAAAAGCCTTACCCCATGAAGAAGAAGATGAAGAAGAAGCCATTATTACAAGCAGTGGCGTATCCACTGTGGTCCTAGGGTGTGCAACTGCACACCCTTGATTTTGAAAAAAAAATATTCCCTATATATTTATATATTATATAACTGTAAATGTAAAAATTGCTGAAGAGATCTTGTAGCTGAACTGGTAGGGATCTCCCTTCAAATACAGAGAGGTGCAGAGTTCGAGACTCAGATTGAACCCTTTTATTTGGAATATTTCAAAGTTTTTTTGTATTTCTAAATTCTAATACATATAATATTTCAAAAAATCAAAATCTCCTAATAAAACATATATTTTGCTATTCTCAACTTTAATTTCCATTCCTTTAATATTTTATATAATCTACATTATTCCAAAATTCTTATAATATTTTATATAATCTAAATTATTCCAAAATTCTTAATTTTATATATATATGCTTGTTTTTTTTATTTCTAATACATATAATATTTCAATTGTTTTCAAAATTTTTGAATATGTGGGTATTTTTGAATATTTCAAAAAATCAAAATCTCCAAATATATAATATTTCAATTGTTTTCCAAAATTTTTGAATATGTGGGTATTTTTGAATATTTCAAAAAAATCAAAATCTCCTAATAAAACATATATTTTGCTATTTGCAACTTTAATTTATTTACCATTCCTTTAATATTTTATATAATCTAAATTATTCCAAAATTCTTAATTATATATATATATATATATATATATATATATATATATATATATATATATATATATATATATATATATATATATATATATATATATATATATATGCATTATTACAATTATTTTCTAAATTTACAACTATATTTTTTTTTTTAAATTCAAAATCTGCTAATGAAATACACATTTTGTCACTTGCAACTTTAATATGCTTACCACTCCTTAAATATTTTCACCAATTTTATGTCTAAATATTTCCTAAATTAGCCCAAAATTTGTAAAATAATCCCTTTAAATTTGAAAATATTACATATTTTTATTATTTAATGTGCATAGTATTAAAAAAAAATTCGGGGGCGCTGCCCCCGAACCCCCGTAAACTTTTACCTTTTTTACTATATTTAATTCCGAACACCCTTGGCAAAAATCCTGGATTCGCCACTGATTACAAGAAGTTTGTTCTTCTGACTGGTTTTATATATATAAAATACGTACAAGATTAAGAATACTAAATATATAAAAAAATGTTTATCTTCCACGTGTCAATGCATGTCAGGTGTATTGTGAGCTTCCTTTGTTTTTATGTTTTCTGCACTCTGCATTACAATTACAGCTTTTGCTTGGCTGGTAAAATAAAATAAAAATTACCAGCTATGAAAAAATTCAAAAAATTTAATCTCTTAATTTTTTTTTCCACAATTAGACTAACCAATACATTGGTAAATTAGGCATGTGTGTCAATTTAAAAAAAAATTAATTGCATGAAAGCTCATGCAATAAAAAGTTAAAAGAACAATTACACCTTTGAAAGCTACGTGATAGGAAATTAAACCCCGCCGCCATTGTTGTCTCCTCCTCTAACCTGTAGCAGCCAGACGAATATTTATCGATCGCCGAAAAACCGATCATCTTTTGTCTTTGCGGCGCACGTTAGCTGGGATCTGGAGGGAGATGGCGGGATTTTTCGTTTGCGAAAATTGAAGGAAATCCCCGAAATTCATTTACATGAAACATAATTATGGCTTTTTTTTATTTTTTGTATTAAACTTCAATGGTGTTCATGCTATTTATACTATTTTCAGATTTTTATTTAAATAATGTACAAAATTTAGGAATTGTGTTGGTTGATTAAATTATGCTCATCTTTTTTAGGAAATAAAATTATTCTTTAAATAGTCTTTTCAATTTTACTAATATTATTTCAACTTCGAACGTGATTTTGACTCTTTTTTAGTCGGAATTTGGCATAATTCAAAACAAAAAGATTGTAGTCCTTTGCGTTAGCTGTCTAATTACAATTTAAATCAGCTAGATTTGATGTCAGGTGATAAAGTTATGAGTAAACGAGTTACGTTTTTTTTTATTTTAGATAACTCAAAATATCAAAGTTCTGGTCAACGCTCATTGATTCATTCATTATATTTCTCATTCGATATCCAATCTCGACGATTATTCAAGTTGTATTAGAAAGTTAACTCGGAGAATTACAAATCTCGTGTTTTGAGCTTTACCAAATTCACATCTGAAGTCAAAATGATATTATTATATTATTAAAGATTATCGCATCCCTCAATAGTTTGTGAGCGAAAACGGTTCACGTAACTACGAATAATTAACAGCCACATAACACAATACTAGAACCTGAATAATCATTAAAAAAAAAGGAGAAGAATTAAAACTTAAACATCAATTTAAATTGATGCATCACTTATATTTGTTTGTATGTGAGTATATATTCTCACGGTTATTCTATTTTGGATTTTTGGATGTTAATATGTATGTCTTGTAATGAATCTTTAGCTTTCACATGGGAAGATGTTGAAAGTGTGCAAATTTAGATCGGATGACCTGTTTTAATAGAAAAATTAGATTGGAATCCAATCATATTAAATATCGGCTGATTCGCTCACAATTTAATCTCATGTTGGAGTGCATGCACACCGACACATTAGCATGTCTTTACCTAATTAATCTCCACATTTAATGTTGTCCCTTTCACTCTATTTATTTTATTCTCATTTATTAATTAATTATTTATTACATACCAATTTGGTTTTCAACCACTAAAGTGTTGTCATGGTGTAAGATAAGGTCACGTGATTGGTGTTTTCTAGTTTTCTTTTTTTTTTTTGCTTTCTCTTTAATTAGTAAGAGAATTAATAGATTAAAATTGAAAGTTAGAAAGATTCTATAATTGGGAAAAACTAGGTTGGAAATTGGAACACTGTCTGAATTCTCTCGATTTCGATCCAACTATTTTCGATTTTGAACTATACTCTCCATTTTTGTATTTTGGAAATTTGGAATTCCGTTTTCTGCAGAAAAAAGATTTTGGATTGGAATTGGAATATATATATATATATATATATATATATATATATATATATATATATATATATATATATATATATATGATGTTCTCATCTCCAATCGGATTTAGATTTCTGAAAGAAAAAAAAAATTCTTCGAAAATTGCAGTTGTGATTACAATATTATGGTGTATTTTATCTTATTTCTGCTGATTCCGATCCAAACAGAATGCCGATTTGTTAACAAGTTATTTAGTTCCAAATTTTTAAAATTTCTAGGACCAAAATCGGAACTAATTATTTTCTCAAAAAAAAAAATTCGAAGGTGTTAATTACTTCTAATTTGTCCAATTTTCACCCGAACGAAACCCTATATTCAAAAGTAACGTTGTTCTTTTTTCTTTAAATGGCCTTACAATACACGCACCCAGAATATTGATTGTGAACAATTAGATGGTCCGAGTTGAAGATGACATTTTTAAGTTTTAGTATTTTAAATATTGATTATATTTATGATGAGATTATTAAAACAGGCCTCTTGTGCAGATATCTATTAAGGCCCAAAAGAGTAGTAAATAAAGAGAACATTTCGGGATTAAAATATATTTGATATATGGATTATATATTTGTGATTAAGCCCAAAAGAAAGGATTAGAGATTAAGGGGTAACAATTTGATAGCATAATTTGACAGCTTCTGTAAATTAGCATTTTTAATGGGATTTTTCTATAAATTAATGTTTCTAATTCTATATAATTCTATTTATTTATTCAAAAAAAAAAATCATTTATAATATCAATTTTATTATGTATTTACTATACATAAACATTGGTGAATAAAAATGAAAATTGCGATTTCTGCCGGTTCCAGTTCAAACAAATTCGATTTTCAAAAAAAAAAAATTCAAATCAAAATTCAGAAAAAAAAATGGAATAAAAAGAATTCCAATTAAGGTACACGAGTTCCTTGAATATTTTAACAAAATTGGAATAAAAAAAAATTGAAAATTTTAATTTAAATGGGATTTGTCAAATTTTAACCCCTAATTAATGTAACTTAAGGTACACGAGTTCCTTGAATATTAAGAGAGAGAGAGAGAGAGAGAGAGAGAGAGAGAGTTAAAAACAATAAATTAAAATATTGAAATAGAAAATGTTGGAGTAGCAAAGAATATGGGCCATGGTTTCAGGGACAAGGAAGGCCTACATGTATTATAATAAAAGCCCCACAAGGCCCAATGCCATTCAATTTTTGGGATATATGTTACTTCCCCTAATCCCAATTAATATTGCTAATCTCCACAATAAATACTCATTATTTTATTTGTTGCAGACAAAAATCTAATATTTTAATAGCTTATATCATATTCTCTTGACCACAAACTGTGATCAACTATTTTTTTAATTATTTTTAATATACCTGGTGAATTATATCTGATAATTTTTCATTATTAATCTACACATAATAACACACAGCTATTTGTTTGTATACTTAGCGAGTAGTTATTTGTATAGATTTATAGTATAAAATCACTAGCTATATTTCACTTGGTATAGTATCTCATAGACCGTGATATATGATCTCTATGAATGAAATAAAATCAAGATTCAAGACTATTAATGGCATATTTTTTTAAGTAAAATAATTCAAATCAAATCAAATTGTCTCTCTCTCTAAACAAAGGTCCGAAAATCTTATATCTTAGTGGATTGTTACTTAATTAGTTACACAGTTGAAATTTAGCGGACATAAATAATTGGGTGTAGTATCTAACTTCTCGATTTATAATATTTTTTTTTTTTATGTAAACAAAAAAAAGAGAAATTAGTGGAGACAGAATCAAATCCAATTGAAAAGCACACAGAATTCAATGGATTATTATAATATGATTAATAGTGATTAGCACTTTCTATTATTCCACATTTAGCGTAGCTTAATTTCGTCTTATTCGATAATCCCAAACTTGGTCAATGCCAAAAAGCAGATCCTGTTTATTCAAAATAAAGGGTATAATTTATTTTTTTAATTATTAATTAATATTTCCATTGAAGTTATCAAAAAGGCCCCTCGATTTTAATAAATTACAATTCCGGAGGTTCGAGGGGCAGGGGATCCGTGGATTTGTGGGGCCCAGACTGAAGAACTCTTTCAGCTGACGAATGGTAGCCGCCGTTAGGTCGCCGTCGGGCATTGATGATTGCGATAACGTGACAGTTAAGTCAGCCAACGGTGGGACGTTAGCTGACTCACGGAAAACGTTTCCGTCACCACATTAATGGGGAAACGGAATTAGGGGACAACCGGTTCAACTATTTTCACATGACAAAAATAATAATAATAATAAATAAAATAAATAGTACAACAAAAGTTAATTTTTTTAGAGGTAATTGGTTTGCTAAGTTAAAGAATTTAAGTGAAGTTCACTTACAATTTTTTATTATAAAAATACATTTTCATTTTTTTTAATAAGTTCATTTTTGCATTTATCGTTTTTGTTAAAATAATAATAATAATTAAAGGTCTGCATAATATTAAAATTACACATATTTCGTTCTTGAAAATCTCCAAAGTAATTTTTATTATTAAATAGGAACTTTTTCATCAACACAAAGTATATGTGGTACTATTAATATATATATAAGGGCAAATTACGGCCACCCCTGAGCTATGGTCAAATTACGAAAACCCCATCCTGTTTGGGTAATTACAGCCACCCCTCTCAATTATGCATTTATCTTACGAAAAGACCCCTCCAGAGGTAAATTTAGGGATTTTAATTCGGTAAAACAGGACCAAAATTTCGGTACGCCAACATTTCATACCGTTTACCGAACGAATATACGATTTGGTTCGGTAACTAACCGAATTACATAAATTTTACGTAAAAATATTTTAAAGGAGGGGGATGGCTGTAATTACCCAATCAAGAGAGGTTTTTTCGTAATTTGACCATACATCAGGGGTGGCCGTAATTTGCCCTATATATATATATATATATATATATATATATATATATATATATATTTTTTTTTTTTTTTTTTTGAGATTTTTTTTTTATTTAGTCTAAAAATCACATGGTGCAAGCAAAATTGAAATGGAGTTTGACGGAGATATATAACGGTGAGTGGGGGCCTGCCGTCTGTGTAAATCATGGTTGGAGTTAATATATTTTCTGTGGGCCTTGTTTGGTTTGATTTCAATGCTAACCTGCGCAACTTGTTGCCTCCATTTAATACTTCTATTCAAATTTTGAATTTTTGGTTTTTTCATTTTTTTTTATAATCAATATAATTATTTTATTTCAAAATAAATCAAACGAATATCATATCTTATAATATTTTTAAAAATATTTAATATTTTCAATCATTTTTTTAAATAATCATTGTCAAAATTGATAGAAATATACCTTTTGAAAAACCTCTTATTTCTTAATTTGATAAACGTGTTCTAAATATTTATATAAACACGCTCTGGTTAGCTCGTCGGAACACTATTGAACAATTTTAGCTTTAGCTTTTATTCAAAACTTATTCTCCAAAAATGATTGTGCCCCGGCCACTGAATTCTATAAAAAAACAATGCAAAATAAAGACAATATCTTTTATTTATTTTTAACTTTTTTTTAATTACTAAAGACAATATTTAAAGCCATCCTTTTCAATTCCAATTACTAACCGCGCCACAAATTTAAATATGAATTTGAAATTTGTCAATAGATCTATATTTCTTTTATTTTATGTGTTAAATTTATAAAAGCATGACAATTTAACAATATTTACATTAGGCATACCGCATAAGTACATACAATTAATTTTAATATTTAAGGCCGATGTTTTTTTGAAAATAAGAATTTATAATGTCAATTGTCACATTAAAAAAAAGTGAAGGAAATTGAAGGGAATATTTTGCAAATTAATTAGTCAAACGTTCTTAAATTTTCCAACCCATATTGTAATTTTTTTTTTTTGTCCTTGTCTAACTTTTGAGATATTAATGAATTAATTTTTCTTCTTGTCAAGCTATAAAGTCAATGTCTAATAATATGTGCAATTATTAGTCTATTTATGCTATATTTATGCTATATTTCATTAGTAAATTACAGTAGGGCTGGCATGGGTCGGGTCGGATAATTATATGCCACTTACTATCTATTCTGATTAATTGATTTTACTGAATATTGAAAAATATTACCAAGCCGACCATATAAGTCAGATAATAGTTAGCAACCGACTTTATCGGATAAGCAATGAGTCGATTGATTAGTATTATCGACAATCTATTTATTGATTTCTTTTTAACAAAAATAAAAAAAAATTGAAAGTTTCAAAAATAAATTTCTAAATTCTGAACACTTATGCCGCAAAAATCTTAACTTTAAAATAAAAAGTTTTTTTATTAAACAACATATGTAATAAGTAAATATACATTAACGAATATGAAATAAGAATTATAAAATAAAAATAGTGCGTAGATGTTTATAAAATTGTGTTTCGGATTTTGATTTCTTTTATATATTATTTGAACATTAAGAAAATAAGAATTATAATTAATTAATTTTTAATAAATTTTATTATTAAAAAAATCAGTTAATTGATATTACCCGACTAAACCGTCCTTTCAGTAAACTGAAAACCACCGGTCGATCCATTTATATATGGATCAGTTAAAATTACGGACCCGACTATATGAGCTGGTTAATTACCCGTCATCTAATTCAAAAGTGTGTCGGTTGAGCGATAAAACCGATCAATGCCCAACCCTAAATTTCACGTCATTTACTAATAATTCTATTAAATATTTATGTGCTAAATTGTTATTATTATTTATTTATTTATTTATTAAAAGATTACAATCAAATCAAAATAATTAAACCCAAAGAGAAGGAAAGGGCAGTTGAAAAAGGTGAGTTAAAACGGCAAACGGAGCTGACAAGAACAAACATCGACGGCGACGTTGTCTAAACACCGCAGTAAAAATCAGCCGAAGAAAGAGAGACAACATTTCAAAAAAAAAAAATAAAAAAATCAGCAGAGATTTTTTTTGAATATATGGTCTCCTTTTGTATTGTATTTTTCCATGTAAACATTTTGCCTGTCACTGTTACAAATGTAAGTGCATCATTGCTCTGTTCTTCTTACCCCCCACCCCCACTAAATAAAAGCACATTTTTCAAGAATCATAGTTGTTCAGAAAGTTAATAATAATTACTGAGTAGTGAGTGAGTGTATTTATTTTTTCTTGATCTGGGTTTTATTTAGTTTACATCTGAAAATAGTGTTTGTTCAACTTGAAACTTGAAAGCTCATTTTTTGATGTAACATCTCTTTCCACAACGCACAATTTTGTGAGTGAATAAAAACATGATCTTTAATAGTGGGTGTGTGTTGTTGCTGTTGATGTTTTTTTTTTTTTTTTTGTTGTTTTCCCCAAATTTAATTTCCCTTTCTCCTTCACTGTGTGTATCTATGTGCTGATTAATTTTTTTTTTTTTGTTTTTTTTAAATTTGATTGTTTGGCAGGAATTGGAGAATGCTCAAGAATTGAGAAGTCATATCTGATAGCACAAACAAACAAACAAAAAAAAAAAAAACTCAACCCTTGTGTCATTTCACCATTATTTTCTTGCTTTTTCTTCTTCAGGTGTGAAAGCCCAAAAGTAGAACCACACATTTTAGTTTGTAATAATAGAATAAAGATCGAGTCTTTGGAGGAATCTGAGTGCCACGTTTTGCCAGCATTTCACAAATAATTGTTACTTGTAAGAGAGAAGAGAGAGAGAGAGAGAGAGAGAGAGAGTTGGGTTGGGTTTGGTTTTTTGGATCTATAAGAACAGCTCATTTTCCAATGGGGCCTGAAAAAATTCAACCCCAAAATTTGACTTGTCTGATTTTGTTTCTGGGGTTTCTCTGTTAATACATGTGCCAAACAGTGAAGTCTTGTGCTTGAAAAGAACTCTCTCTGCAGAGATCCTGCTTAAAAAAGCTCAAAGATTCAGTGCTTTGACTGAAAAAAGAAAGCAAAATTCACTGGTAAAAATCGGTTCTTGATTTCAAGATTTTGGTTTTCTTGGTTAAAAGGGTCTTGTCCAAAAATCAATTGATTGTTCTCTCTTTCAGACAAACAGTATTGTTGTGCATGAGTTTCATCAATGGTGGGACAGTGTGTTGTTGTGGGGGGCCTATAGATACAGTCCTGTAATACATAATTCTGTCTTGAAAGAATACTTTTTTATTTTATTACAGTTTTGTTGTAAGGTTTGTTTATGGTTGGTGCAATGAGTAGAGATTTGAAGAAAGTGGGGAAACAAGAAAAGGGTTGTGATTTGGCTGAGAAGGTTGTGGTGGCTGTTAAAGCATCAAAGGATATTCCCAAAACTGCCCTTGTCTGGGCTTTGACTCATGTTGTTCAGCCTGGTGATTGCATTACACTTCTTGTTGTCATCTCTTCACATACCTCTGGTAATAATTTAATGTTTTTTTATTACATCATATGTTCTTGTTAGAATTCAAGATTGTTTTTTTGATGTGGGTTTTTTGATATAATATCAGGGAGAAAGTTATGGGGGTTTCCAAGATTTGCTGGGGACTGTGCTAGTGGTCATAAGAAGTCACAATCCGGTACGAGTGTCGAACACAAATCCGACATTACCGATTCTTGTTCTCAAATGATTCTCCAGCTCCATGATGTTTACGACCCTAATCGAGTGAGTGTGTCTCTTGAATTGAGTTGGATTCTTGGTAATTTATTTTTTTGCTAATTGATTTTTTTTTCAGATCAATGTGAAGATAAAAGTGGTGACCGGAAACCCGTGCGGATCAGTAGCCGCAGAGGCAAAGAAGAACCAAGCGAATTGGGTCGTTTTGGACAAGTAAGAAAAACGTAGTACTAATTTGATCTCACTCTATCGAATTTGTCGAAATCTAGTATGAGAACAGACTTTTTTACATTTGAATTCTTATTTACTACGCAGACATCTCAAACACGAGGAAAAACGATGCATGGAGGAGCTGCAATGCAACATAGTCGTAATGAAAAAATCGCAACCGAAGGTTCTCCGTCTAAACTTAGTCGGATCTTCAAGGAACGAACAAAGTGATGACGTCGTCAAGAATGATTGTCCGAATCCAAAGCGGGGCCCACTCGTAACCCCTTCGAGCAGTCCAGAAACATTCACCGCCACCGAAGCCGGAACCTCTTCGGTTTCAAGCTCCGATCTTGGTGCTTCACCTTTCTTCACAAACGGCTTTAAAGAAACCCTCAAGAAAGAGAATATACTATCCACCAATCAAGAACGAGATATCGAAGAATCCAGCTCAGAAACCGACAGTGAAGGCTGTTTGTCCTCGTCTTCGAGTTTAAGGTTTCAACCATGGATGGCAGAAATTGTAAATTCTTCACATCTCGGAGAAACTTCCGGAAGATCCAACACCACTCGACCGCAAAATTCATCCAATACTGGATTCGGTTCACCGAGCTACCATTTCAATCAGGATTTCAGCGGGAGTTTAAGAGAAGTGATCTCCCTTTCAAGAACGGCCCCTCTCGGCCCCCCTCCGTTGTGTTCGATATGTCAGCACAAGGGGCCCGTTTTCGGAAAGCCCCCGAGGTGGTTCACGTACGCTGAGCTGGAGGTTGCTACGGAGGGTTTTTCAAAGGCGAATTTCTTGGCGGAGGGTGGGTATGGATCCGTCCACAGAGGAGTATTGCCCGATGGACAGACTATTGCGGTGAAGCAGCACAAGCTTGCGAGTTCTCAAGGCGATCAAGAATTTTGCTCCGAGGTCGAGGTTTTGAGCTGCGCTCAGCATAGAAATGTTGTTATGTTGATCGGTTTTTGTATCGAGGACGGAAGGAGATTGCTCGTGTATGAGTATATCTGCAATGGCTCTCTCGATTCCCATCTTTACGGTACGGATTTTTGAAGCGGTAAATTTCGTGGGGTCCAGGGGTAAAATAGTCGTTTCACATAATGTTTGAGATTGTGAATTGCAGGTCGCCACGAGGGCACGTTAGCTTGGAGTGCAAGGCAGAAGATAGCGGTTGGAGCGGCACGAGGATTGAGGTATCTGCACGAAGAATGCAGAGTTGGTTGCATTGTGCATAGAGATATGAGACCGAATAACATTCTCATTACTCACGATTTCGAACCCTTGGTACGAAACTTTTTTTTTTAACATGGCTATTCGAGTTAATAATTTAAACTAGGATGTGAATTTTTTTGCTGATTTTACTGCAAATTTTCACATGCAAAGGTGGGAGACTTTGGTCTAGCTAGGTGGCAGCCCGACGGAGAGACAGGTGTCGAAACGAGAGTAATCGGAACCTTTGGGTATAACTTTTACACTCTACTCATATTTCGTAACGATATTCAAACACCGTAAGAATTTCAACACTGATGGTAGCATGTTAATTTTTTGTTTTTGTTTTGTTTTGTTAAGGTACTTGGCACCCGAGTATGCTCAAAGTGGTCAAATTACCGAAAAGGCCGATGTTTACTCGTTCGGTGTAGTACTGGTGGAGCTTGTCACGGGGCGTAAAGCAGTGGATCTCAACAGGCCTAAGGGCCAGCAGTGCCTCACAGAATGGGTAAATAATAATAAGAAGCCGATGTTTATTCGTTCGATGTTTATTATTTGCTTTTTAAACAACTTGATTGTAAAATCTAACGGACACGATTAAACAGGCGCGGCCGTTGTTGGAAGCGTACGCCGTCGATGAACTGGTGGACCCGCGGTTGGGAAATAATTACACGGAGCAGGAGGTGCACTGTATGTTGCACGCAGCCTCGTTGTGCATACGTAGGGATCCTCAAGTGAGGCCTCGCATGTCTCAGGTAATTAAAATCTTAACGGTGTGCGATTATGTAAATTAATGCTCCGTATTAAACATATGTAATTCTTCGGAATATAGGTGCTTCGGATACTCGAAGGCGATGCGATGGATTCGGGCCCGTTGTGCGGGTTCAGCCCGGGGAGTGAGAGTGGAAGAATATGGATGGATCATCAGCTAAAACAAGAGCAACACAGCGGACGAATGGTGAACGAGTCTTCCGGAAGATTTAGCTCTAAGCTTTCTCTCGATTGAACGACAACTCGACTTTATATGATATGATATTTTTCTTTTTGTAGTCCTTTCGGTTTTCGATGCTTATTAAGAGTTTTTTTGTTGTGTATAGCAGTGTGGAAGTATAAGATTTCTCTGTAATCTTTATTACCCAATTGCATGGTACATTTACAAATTAATAATATATCAATTAAACAAGAAATCAATATTAACTAAGTTACCGATTATTATTTAAAACTAACTAAATTAATACAGTTATAAATCTATTAATTTATAGAGGTTACACCAAATAAAGAAAACCTGGAGGGAGATCCAAACTAGAAGGTTAAAAAAACTAACTTTGTAAATACAGAACAACAATATCTGAACCTTGGAATTGAATTTTTAACATTGTCGATTGCTATATATTCAGCCGTCTTAGGTTTAAAAAAGCCCGATGCAGTAGATTTTTCAGGGCTTCCTCATTTTCGACCGCGCATATCTGAAAAACGAAAAAGAAATAAAAAATCGATTTTGAATAATGAAAATAACAAAATGGGAAATATCAGATAGTGTGGTATACATACTCTATATGCATGCCACCGCGGTCAGAAGATGCCAGCGTGCTTCCTTGAAGTGCATTTATTGCGTGTGTTGCTTGTTCGACTTTCTGCTCAAAAGAAAAGAATTACATGGATTTTTTCTTTTGTCTGAACTAAATTTTGTAAGAAATTACAATTTCCTGTCGGCAATCTAATAAAACTGGATTAAAAAAGATACCTCAAAATCAGCAAATGCAACTGGCATTCCGCCTCTGGCACGAATCTTGAGGCTATTGAATCCCGGGTATCTGAAATTACACGAAAGACGCGAATTTATGGTCTGAATAATGAGAGCATAATTCGCAGTTATTTCGACGGAGCAACTTACAGAGAAAGAACTTGTTTCAGTTCGTCTTCAGTACAATTTGGACCTAAATTAGCAATAAATAAGGTAGAGCATGCCCCGTCGCTTGTTTTTTCTGCTTGATCCTATGAAACGCATACAGACACTAACAATCACGATAATCTTAAACAAAGTACAAAATATCATTATTTAAAGACAAAATTACTTACATTATCTGGAGCAAAAGCATCAATACTAGTGGTTGTCTGTTCAGCGCTGTCAAATATGCAAGATTTGTTTTTCATCAGATTCACAAGAATAAAAATGATCAAACGCATTTTCAAACGCACAAAAATATAACAGCATACCCGTATTTACATATTATATAAGTTATTACAGCACTAAACATGTCTAACCTTTTGTCAGCAGCCGAATCATCTTGGTTCACAGCATCAACATTCTCATCAGAACCGTCATCTATTTAATGAATCGTGTGACCAATAACTCAGTATCAATATGAATTACGATTTACGATCACTTATATCAATAAATTCCATTTCAATAAGGACGAACACTTACCATCATCACTTGATGTTTCTCTAGCATCAGCGCCAGATTTCGTTCTTAAATCAATCACAACATACGGGCCGCTTCCTGTAAACACCATTAATTAATGCTGTCAAGAGCTTCACAAAGGTAAACATCGTAAACGATCACGTAATCACAATTCACCATTCGAATAAGGAAGAAAAATACGCCTACCTGGTTTATGTTTTCTTCTTGAATTTGATCTTGCGAGTTCTATATGCAAAGTTAAACCAGTTTCAGGATCAAACTTAACACCCTGTAGATGTTTCATACGTCATTTATTCTTAACCGACGAACAAACTCAAAAGTGCATAAGTACGATTTACGACAAAAACGTGCTTTTGAATGATATCATCTTTTATGAATTTTCACTTTTCTTTGTTGATTGTTAACTTTATCCTCGAATAAAAGAACCTACCAATTTGTCGATTTCAATTACAAAATTCAATTAGGTATTGCATTTCCAATTATCCAAATGCATAAACAACAATCGGATTATTATTCACATTAAACGAATACGAGCATATTCGAATACAAATTCAAATGACAACTCACATTCAGAGAATGCAAAGATGCCATCGCCGATTGATGATTCACAAACGTCGCAAATGCCACAACCTGCAAATTTTAATATATTTTTTTAATCAAAATTTAACCTCGTAAGAACACAATCAAACGGTTCAATTGAAGCTAGTAGCAAAAATAATGGAACCTGGTTGCCTCGGCCGGTGTATTTGAGCTGGCAGGACTCGAAGCCTGGACGGCGGCGGAAGAGGTTGTGAATCTCACGCGCCTTCACATCGTCGGGGAGACCGGAGACGAATAGCGTGTTGATACCATTTCCGTCGTTGGTGGAGTAACCGTAGTCGGGGAGAGGCGGAGCTAGATAGTACGGCTCGTACGGCGGCGGATGAGCCATATCGGGAAGCGACGGCGGCTACTCGGGGGTGGGAGTTTGTGATTAATGCTGAAATGGGCTGGTCCAAAAACCATGGCCCAAGTGGTCCATAGCAGAAAATAATTATTGCTAATCTCACCCCCAAATTAACCAAAAATTCAATTAATGACCACAAAAGGATTTCATTAGGACCGGCAATTGAGCCGGGCCTAACCGAAGCCCGATGACTCGGCCCGATTATATTTGAGTTGAGCCTTCATTTTAGTGAGTCGGGCCAAGTTTGAGCCATTTTACTAAACCCGACTATATTATAAGCCGTGTTTGAACCTACTATGGCTCAACCCGGATAAGGCCCGACCAATTATGTTAGTAATAAAATATATAATATATTTATTATTTTAATGCTATGACAGCATACAAGTTACGACCGTATAAGACTATTTTATTTTGCAAAATAGAATAAAGGCTGCGGCTATATGCAAGACTAATTCCACTTGTGCAAGACCAAATTAAAATTTTCAATGTATAAATACTATAATACCCTTATTTATTAAAAAAATAAAAAATTCCAAATATGCAAGACCAAAAATTCAAAAACACAAAAAACCCTATCACAAGACCACAAAACCACAAGACCAACTATCATCTTCTCCATCTTCCAAAACTCACAAGACCTTTCTCCTTCCTCCTCCATTAACCCACAAAACCTAGAAATTCAAAATCATCAAAACTCAACAAATCTTACAAAGATGGCAAGTATGGAGTCAGAAGACATCAAAATAGAAGATTCTACGATGGAAGAACCCAAGAATGTATGCATTTATGGGTTTTTTTAGCTAGAATATCGATTTTCCAAAAAAAATCCCGCACAAACGAATTCGACATGTACAGGTCGAATTTTACAGGTAAAAATCGACATTTAGATGTCGATTTTGAGGTATACAATTCGACATTTAGATGTCGATTTTGAGGTATAAAATTCGACATTTGAATTTGATTTGCTCCAAAATCTGAGAGCTGATGACCTGTCTTCTTTGGGCGATATTTTGATGATAGCTTGCCGTAAATTCCGCCGAAGGAGTACCTGCAACACCGGGAGGGGTTTCCCGGCGTAGAAGCTCCGACGATCAAGTCAGTGTTTATCGAGAGATAATTGAGTGTGATATGTAAGAGAGAGCATAGAAGTCATGAGTTGAGAATAACTCCCTATTTATAGGTGAGGATACTTGCCCTAACTCCTCTTCTTGGGCCTGATATGATTTTGGGCCGAATACAAGTGAAAACTCAATCCACGGCCCAATAATTGACTAGGAAACCCCCCGAGGACAATTTAGTCCGTATCAACTACTCCCCCCTACTCCGAAGTCTAGAAGTCGTGTTTAGACTAGGAGTATTATTCACGTGTTGTCTTTTCACCTTACGTCGTTTTTTCTCTGGTAGTATGACTCGTGCGTTTATCTCGCCGTATTGGCTTGAATGTTTCTAGCGATTTTACATACTCGATTTGATAGGCTATTCTTGCCTATTATAACAACTCATTTTTGTTTCGATTTAATGCCTCGTTTTTGCGCGATTTAACGCCTCGTTTTTGCGCGATTTAACGCTTCGTTTTTGCGCGATTTAACGTCTCGTTTTTCAACGCGATTTAACGCCTCAGTGTAATACGCGATTTAACGCCACAGTGAAATACGCGATTTAACGCCACAATGAAACACGCGAGTTAACGCCACAATGAAACACGCGAGTTAACGCCACAATGAAACACGCGAGTTAACGCCACAATAAAACACGCGAGTTAACGCCACAGTGAAATACGCGATTTAACGTCACAATAGAATACGCGATTGAACGCCACAATGAAACACGCGAGTTAACGCCACAATAAAACACGCGAGTTAACGCCACAGTGAAACACGCGATTTAACGCCACAATGAAACACGCGAGTTAACGCCACAATGAAACACGCGAGTTAACGCCACAATAAAACACGCGAGTTAACGCCACAGTGAAACACGCGAGTTAACGCCACAGTGAAATACGCGATTTAACGCCACAATGAAACACGCGAGTTAACGCCACAATGAAACACGCGAGTTAACGCCACAATAAAACACGCGAGTTAACGCCACAGTGAAACACGCGATTTAACGCCACAATGAAACACGCGAGTTAACGCCACAATAAAACACGCGAGTTAACGCCACAGTGAAATACGCGATTTAACGCCACGGTTTTTTGCCAATCCATTAGTTAGTATTGTATTAATATATTCTATCCAGGTGATGGATAATTTCAAATTTCATGAAAAGAGTTATTGCCATGGAGGTATAGGCACATCATTTAAAAGAGAACTTACTTCGCAAGGATGCTAGGAGAAGTTCGAGCTTTCATAGATTCGTATTCGAGGTGGAGATGCGAGCTTCATAGGACCAATGCTAGATATGAGAGAATTACGAGTCTCGAAAAGTCCTCGACGGGCGTTGGGTCGGTGAAATTCGGTTAGAGAGCACCGAGATGACAATGTTCGAGCCGGCGAAATCTGGCTCGGAGTTGTGGGAGAATTGGCATAGAAGTGTGAGCAATGTTAACGAGAGCTCCCGGGATAAAGCAAGTATTCAACAATTTCGCCGGGGGATAACTTCCTTGATCGCCTTGACTCGTAGCGACCTCTTGCCGAGGTGGAAACCTCACATAAACATGTGGCTTGCACCTTCTCTTCTCGCGTAATCTCCTCTCGTAATAAATGTGAGCGACAAAAAGTCTAATTACCAGAAATGAATTTGAGGTGTGAGTTGCGAGTGCGAGTTTCAAGGTTTCACCCAGCTTCGGGTTCATTCGAGAACTCCGAACTTTCAAGAAAACCCAGCCCGCTAAATCATGGAAATAAGTTTTGTGCTTTGAGGGATCCTCCGGGGTATATGAGAGAAAATACGAGCCGTTGAATTAATAATCCATGGATATCTATTAACCAATATCGAGCTCAGGGGTAGGATCGAAGCCTGAAGATCAAAGCAGAACGTCGATGCTTCAACTTCCTATAGCTCGAATTCGTTGCTCAAATTCTGCTCTCTAGTTTTATTTTCTTCTTTTTCTTGTCGAAGAAAGCAAATTTCCGACTCCAAATTCTTGTTCGCTATGTTAAGGCTCTCGTTTTCCTTCTTAATTTCGGTCATTGTTGTGCACAGAGCTAAGTTCGATTTTTCCGCAGCTTCGAGCTTCGTTTTTGCATCGAAGAGCTTTGCTTGTGTTTGAAGCAAACTCTCTTTACCATTTATTACATCCTGGTTCATTCGAACGTTGCATTCTTTGACCACATCCATCTCGGTTTCCGAGCTACAAACGGCATCTTTCAGGGCTAAATTTTCCGGCTTTTGTAACTCAAGCTTCCCTATCAACACCCTCATTTCCTTTTCGAGGCTAACAGTGACCTTATTTTGTCGACTCAGATCTGCGAGAAGTAATTTCACTTCTTCGATTTTCTCTCTCCCGAAACTCCTCAAGACTTCAGATATATTAGCAGATGATAAAAAATCAGGAATTGCATCCTCGTTATACCGATCTAGCTCGTATTCCTCATCTTTCAGACCCGAAAACTTCTTCCACAAATACGTATTTTCTTGATTCGCTTTCGAGTAAACTGCTTGTAACGCATTATACGCCTGCTGCAAATCAGCTTGTTCGACACAAAGACTCCCGGCGGCAGCCTTGAGTACAGCAGCTTCTTCACGACCTTCACTCGCATCCGACTTCAATTTCCCATTTATTTCCACAAGTTCATTCTTTCTGTGTTCGACAACACTAAGCTTCTCAGCCATGAGTTTCGACTCTTGCTCCAAGTGTATTTTCTGCGTCTCGATTTCGACGCCCTTTGAATTGCTTTCTTCATTGAGGGTCTTCTTCTCGGATCGATCTTGCTCGATGCACATTTGGATTACTTCGCACACTACTTCGAGATCGTTTTTTTTTTTTTTTTTTTTTTTTTTTTTTTTTTTACGATTTCAATGTCGGATCCGTCAAAGAGCTGTAACTCTTCTTGTTGTTCACGTACTGAGCAGCCCAGTTCATGATATGCCCTTTCTCTTCAGAGTAAGAGAGCTTTCCGGAGATTATTTTGAGCAGCAACATTCCGAAACTGTGTACATTTGTTTCCACGTCAGCGAGTGGGGGTAGTTCGTTTTTTGTATGGTTTTTCGACTTGGATAGATCAAGAACTTTAATATGCGAGAGATTTCCGAGCTCTGGTGCCAGAACTCCCTTCAAGTCGTGTCCATTGAGATCTAGTATACGCACTTTACCATCGAGACGATGAACACCCGACCACATACACGGATTACAATAGCATCGATTCCAATTCGCTAACGCTCCAAATGGATCAAACTCCACCTTATCTCGAAATTGCAATAGTGCCAATCCTTCTGAATTGAGGGTGCAACATCCATGAATTCCCAAAACAATAACATAAAAGACTTCATTACTCCCGTTTTTTCCTTTGTCGGGAAAAATTTGAACTTTGAAGCATTTCGCGCGATTGCTTCAAACCCCTTTTTTTTTTTCAACCCTGTGTCGGAATCTTGAAGCTATTCGTCAGCATCTAACAATGCATGCACGCGTCTTTTTATTTCTAGTGTGAGAGGCTCAGTTTTCGAAGGCGAGTCATCACCGAGTTCGAAAGGTACTTCTTCGGGAAATGCCTCCGATATGGTTCGATGGGCTTGGCGAAGTTCATCCGTGGTGTGGCTGTACCTTTCTGCTAGTGCACGGTAAGCTCGGTAGAACTCCTCCACAAACTTCATCACCTCGGGCCGTTTCTTGTAGTACATGTCGGCCCGCCTTGCGAATGAGTCCGCATCCGCTTCTATGAGCTCATTAAGGCGCTTATTCTCCTCTTCATACTTTCGAACCTCGTCTTGCAAACTCTGATTTCTGGACTCGAAGACATTCATTAGGTGGGACCGGTTCTGCAACTCCGAGCCCATGGCCCGCAATTCCTCTTGAGTTTGTGCATGCAAATGCTGCAGAGTTTGAAAAGCAGTTTCAGTCTCGACGAAGCGCAATCGTTCTTCTTGCATGCAAGCCCAAAGCCTCCCCAATTCCTTCTGCTTCTCGGTGAGCTTGTGTGATTGATTCCCCACCTTCAACGTCAAAGATTCCATCTCCGAATGAAAAGACTGATTTGCCCTCTCCAACACGACACATTTTTCCTCCAGGCTAGAAATCGTCTCCGAGCACTGTTTGTACTGCGGAGCCGCAGCTTCCTTTACCTCGGTCATTTTCGAGACGGTTAGTCGGAGAATTTCGATTTCGCCGTCTGCCTTTTCGGCTTTCTCTTTCAACCTCGTGGCGTCTTCTTTAGAAACTTCGAGATTGTTCTCAAGCTTCAAAATGGTCCCCAACGATTGCATGTACTGATCGAGAGCTGAGTCTTTTTCGAGAGCTAATTTATCGAGTTCGTTTTTTTAAGGATTGTGCTTCGACATCAGCAGTCGATACGGTTGTCTCTAGATCGGATATTCTATCCAGACACGTTTCCCCGAGTAATTTTAGTTCTGTTGGAGTAGTAGGACATGTCGTAGAACCAGCTCGAGTCTTGCTGCCACGTCATCAACACGTGACCGTCTTTGAAAAGTTTGATAGGATGAACGATCCTACGAGGTTGTTCACCGAAACAATGTTCGTAACCTTTTCGAATAACAAATTGCTTTGTCCGAGATTTCTCATTTCCGTATTCCTTCATAACCCAAAAATCAATTTCGTCGTCTGCATTGTCGCATATACACAAGCAGTACCCAAAGCTACCAGGTTCTGAGAATGCCGTCTCCACATCGGGATAGTCGGTTGAGAAAACGTACTGAAAGTTTCCGTCTCGAGATCGAAGCAAGAAATCAAATGATAGCTCTCGTAATCTTGTAAAAACCAGTGAAGGCACCCATTAATAAACACCCCGTTCGAATAATTGTTTCTTCCCAATTAGGCACCACAGTCAATTCGTCTCCATTTCCTTGTTCCGAGAGTGTACACGTGGCAAATAGATTTCCTAACATGAACAACCCTAACCACCTTATACTGACCGCTCACCTCGCTCACCCCAAATCCATAACTGACCGTTCCGTTAAACTCTTCGTCGAGCAGCCTCTGCTCGTACAGAAACTCCGATATACTCGCGAGTGATTGGATTGCGAGTGTAATGCTCAGAAGATATAGAGCTCAACGGGTGCATGAAAAGCAAGCCGTTAACGGAACCTCTTAAATCGCAGATGCTAAGGCCCAATCCACTACAATCGAATGCGGTTAGTATATCGTAGTTACGATCGGGATCTTCGAGATCGAGTTCATCTTCAAATGTGAATACTTGGTAGCTGTCGAAGTTGAAACAGGTAACCAGACCCGAGACAGATCTAGGAAGATAGGAATTGGCGGAATCGGGAGTTTGGATCAGATCTCGCCATGACTCACGAACGCGTCTACGGATTCCGATTATTCGAAGGGGAAACCTTGATAGAATCTCGATTACGATTTCCGATGGCAGATTTTTTAGGAATTTTACCTCCATTTCGGGGGTTTTTTGCTTGGCGGATTTTATTTCTGGGGATTTGCGCTTGGTTGAAAAAATATTTATGTAAGTATGTATTTGGGGGAAGGATAAACCCTAGCTCGAGAGAATTGCAATAACTGCCATGGATAAGAATGAAGAGCGGCGATCTTTTTTTTTTTTTTTTTTTTTAAGAATATCGAAAAGAAAACGAGCAGAGACTCATCCACAGAGTTCTGTACGGGTTGGAATATCGGGGACGAGATAATTCCCAAATGGCGAGTCGAATATTTTTAAAATTGCCTGTGCAACAATCCTGCTGTGCTTGAGCCGCTGCAAAGCACTTTGCCTGTTGAATCTTTAGTTCGACATTACTCGGTTGAATCTCGACAACCATCGATTTCTTCACATGGGTCAGATCCACTTCTCTCTTCTTGGCTGGTACAACGTCGTGTGTGTAATAAGAAGGGCTGGGAGAGGGTGCGGAATCGAGTTTCTTCTGCTTCGGTGGAGGTTTGAATTTCATCGAATTAGGTTTTTTTTTTTCAAAGATCCTAATCAGATCTGGATTCCAAGCACAAGATTTGAGCCCCTTTCTTGGTTTCCCAAGAAATACAGTGAACTGTCCTTCCTCGATCTTGCAGCTCATTATTTCCAACCCCATGGAGAAGATCCCAAAATTCAAATCGTCTCACGTCTTAGCCCGAGATCATTTCCCACAGACGGCGCCACTTGATTTGCTCCAAAATCTGAGAGCTGATGACCTGTCTTCTTTGGGCGATATTTTGATGATAGCTTGCCGTAAATTCCGCCGAAGGAGTACCTGCAACACCGGGAGGGGTTTCCCGGCGTAGAAGCTCCGACGATCAAGTCAGTGTTTATCGAGAGATAATTGAGTGTGATATGTAAGAGAGAGCATAGAAGTCATGAGTTGAGAATAACTCCCTATTTATAGGTGAGGATACTTGCCCTAACTCCTCTTCTTGGGCCTGATATGATTTTGGGCCGAATACAAGTGAAAACTCAATCCACGGCCCAATAATTGACTAGGAAACCCCCCGAGGACAATTTAGTCCGTATCAGAATTTGTGCTACAAATTCGACATGTCAATGTCGATTTTTACCTATGAAATTCGACGCTTAAGTGTCGATTTGTAGCATAGTTTTTCGACACCTTGGTGTCGATTTTTGTTTTTTTCTCATTATTTGTATTTGGTCTTACATGAGAAAAAAAAAACCAATTTAATTTATGGGCATACTTGTCATTCCATCTTAATAAAATAGAATCTTTTGGAATCTTTCTTTAATTTGGTCTTGCACAAGTGCAATGAGTATTGCATATAGCCGCAGCCTAGAATAAATTAAGTGGTGGCGGTGACAATAAATAAAATAGGAATCAAATGCAAAATAACAATCGAAATCTTATTGCTGAAATTTATCACCGAGATTTGAGAATATAAAACGTTTACAATTATAAGAGTTACTTATCTTTTTTTTACTTCTTTCGGTCTTGTTTTTAAGTTTTTCTAATAACTTGCAAAAATCGTTTACGGTTTTTTTTTGGATTGAATTCAATGGAGGTAAATCTTGTTTATCACTTGTTTTTATAAATTTATTTTACTCATTACAGTTATATATTAATGGAGCCCGATATAAACCCAAAATCCAAAAAAAATACATGAGCTGAGCTTGAGCCTATACTAATGAGGCTCATGGTACGTGAGCTTGAGCCTATAGTAACCAGGCCCGATGGTATGTGAACTTGAGTTGACCCAAGCTCGGCTCACAGCCTCACATGGCCCGATTGCCACCCCTAGATTTCATATATACAATTTAGGGCTTCATTATTTATTATTATTTTTTGTTAACGAAAGAACACGCAACCAACCATATAGGTTAGACTGGATAAATCTATACTATCGTATAATAGCTTGCAAATTAAACTATACGAAAGACGTAAACCACACTAGATTAACCATGTGTGAGAAACTCCACCTAACGACTACTGACAAAGCGATTTGAACATTAGTCAATTAACTCAAACTGATCACTTGCTCCAACGTCTAAGTCATTCCGCTAAGTCATTCCTTACGTAACATACCTTCATTTTAATGATGTTTTAATTGTGTCTTTATTATAATCTTCATTGAATCATGATAAGTGGTAACCTATGTAATGCAACTATCACTACAGCATTTGACAATTCCATGGTTATGGTCAATGTCCCACAGTCCACATGTTAAAAAACTTAAAAAGTGGACCAATTTGCAGCTGAAAGCAAGATAGTCATCCAAGTGTTGTTCTTAATTCAGACAGAAAATCCAACTGTTTTATCTATGATAATAGTATTGGTAATATAGTTTCATTACATCATAGTCTAGATAATCAAAATTTGGGGGCGGAATTGTTAAATTGTGAAAGAATGGTGGCATGATTTGATATTCGGACAATTGTTGTTATTATTTTTTATTTATTTTTATGTTTAATTACCGCTACCCTTAAGATAAAGTTAAATTACAAAGTAAAGGAGAAGTCTTTTCGTAAGAAGCAGTTGATGTGATGATTACAATTAACAAAAAATGAGGGGAATATTCATAATTTGAATTATCTCAGGAGATCGTAATTTACCGTTATTTTATTGTTTGAGAGGGAACAAATATTATTCAAGAACATATGAAAAACCACAAATTTACCCCCCGATGTTTCATACGAGCTCGAGTGGAGCACACTAAAAACCATTCGAGCTTCAATGACCAGAATTGAGCTATAACTCTTCAAATTTATCGAGCTCCGCTCATTTACATCCCTAATTTCATCTGATTAGTCGGAAAATATACCAATTCCCCAAGTTTGAATGATATCGATTATTGGGGAACTAAAGAGTAAATTTAGAAAACTTCAGTTGAAATGCTATGCAAAATGATCACAACAATTACAACAATCCACATTTTGAACTTCATAATTTTCAGGAAAATTAAATAAGAGAGTTATTAAAGTAAATACAAATTCGAGACATACAACAAATTTCTCCCCAAAAAAAAAAAAAAAAAAAATTCCAAAATTCAACAAACAACAAACAATCATCACCTCATACCAAACAATCAACGATTCAATTCACAACAGCTACAGTGGAAATTATGAAAATGGAAGATCGAGATCAAGAGGAAGTCCTCGACAATCCGGCGGCAGCTTCCTCATCGCCGCCCAAACTGTCGGTCTTCCTCACGGCGGCGTGAATCAACACCACCACAACTCCGCCGAGCAGAGCACCCAGGATGTTGGCGATGGCGCCAGTAAACAAGAGCACGCCGATCGTGAGAATCGAGAGCACGATCAGGACCACCTTATCGGAAATCAGGCGGCCGAAAACCACCAGCGGCTCGTCGCGGAGGAAGTACAGGAACAGCCACACCGCCACCATGGCGGCGAAGACGATTAGCGAGATCGGGTGCCAGATGAGGCTGAAGAACATAATCACGAGAAACACGATCGCGTAGTTCATCGTGAAGTATCCGAAGTTCGTCTTCACACGCGCCACCGCTTCCCGGAAGGATCTCGGGAGGCTCAAGCAGTGAACGTCGAACATCTCGCGCCACGGGCGGCGGTCGCCCAGGCCTTCCCTGATGCGCTCCTTCGCGCGTGAGATGTACTCGAGGTTGGCCGGCGTGCCGGAGGGGGAAGAGGAGGTTGGAATTGTGCCGTAAGTAGTCATTTTCCGGCGGTGGCGGTGGCGATTGGGAATTGGGAACTGTGTGAAAAGGGGGACGGTGTAAATGAGGAAGTGTGGACCTTAATGTAGGGAATAAATTACTCTCTGGGTTTTGCTACGATACGTGGGGGTGCATGGTAATTACACTGGTATTGTATTTAAATCTAGGAATATCCGCAGACGTCCAATCAAAAGAAAGGAAAGCCAATTATTATTCAACTGGAAAATAATTATTAAATTATTGCAGATATTTTTTTGTCAAAAAACTAATTGTTTTTTCAATTAAGTATATTATCAAGGTCGGCAGATGCATTAATAAGTAATTTAGGTACTTGCCTAACAATCAAAATTAGAGGGGCCTTGACCCCATTTTTTATATAGTATTATGCATATGTAACTATGGCCCACACCCAAAAGCCCCTATTTGCAAAGTAAGATTAAGGTTTTCTTTGCAAAAGCTTTCATAAACAAATTTCGAGTGGATCATAATTTGCCTTTTGGTGTTTGCAAATTTAACTTTGTTTTTTGATTTTCTCAAAAATAGATTGTTGTTAACTACATAATTTAAAAATTGCCATGTAACGTCTTTTCTCTGTTTAAATTAATTTTCTAATCGTATTTGCTCACACTCTTAACTCACAATATATATCTTGTACTTTTAAATAAACTCTTGCTAACACCACCTAAGTCATTTTGTACTATGAATTATCAGTTGAACCAGTATCCAGTATATTTGTAAGGAATGTCCATAACCGAACTTCCTACTAGCACGCGCGCTGAAGGTATTTTATGGCCACTATGTTCGCATCCCCCCAACTCAACATCAAAGTGGCCTCATGCGATCTCATGCGTGGCCATCATTAAGTCGGCTGGGTCAAGTCCTATATGACTTTTGCTTATAGTGCTCACGCGACTCTTGCTATAAGTTTAGGTTAGTACAAAACTATTGAAATGTCAAAATTCGGCACAAAACATAAATAAAATTGATGATATTTTTTTGAGTTTCAACGGTTATACCTGAAACGATCTTTTGTGAATGCTACACATATTAAAATACATCGGATAATGCTACAACATATTAGATCTACGTACAAAATGTAAAAAAATAAAATAAAAAAAATCAATAAAATAAAATGTAAAAAAATAAAATAAATAAAACATAAAAATGAAAAGGTGAAATCCAAATAGAAAATGTTGGTTTGAATAAAGTGGGAAACATATTCACCTAATCACCCCTCATAGCATCATGGGCTGTTGGGCTTTTTCTTGTTGGACCCAATAAAAAGATAAGACACCACTAAAATAAAAAGTGGGCCCACTATTTACATTAAGAGGGCAAATGCCCCAATTAGATGTTTCGCTGTCACCACGTGGCTTGTTCACAGCCTGTTCAAATTTAATTTTTTTATTTTTTTATTCAAACAATAATTTATTTGTTAGTACAACCACTTTTATTGAATTATCTATAATTTATTAACTCGGTGTCTCCGGAAATATCTTGGGGTACGCGTGGCATCAAATTTATAATAATTGTTTAATTGGCCAATGATTAGGCTTAAAGCTATTTATTTGCTATGACAATAAATAAGATTTAAGCCTAATCGCTCAAATGTGTTAGATCTATTTCTTCTGAGTGAACAACTGTATGTTGCTGTTTTGAAGATTATCACATACTTATAATTGACAAAGAAAGAAATACTTTTAGCAGTACAACAAATATTATTTATAAAGAAGTATTATGTCAACTATTATAAGGGGTATAGAATGCAAGATACAATCTGCGATTTAACAATGGTTCAATACACTGCAATCCAATGTAAAATCGTAACTGTATGTTTTCTCTCATCCCTAATCTCTCGATCGGCATCATTCTTTCCAGGTTTTCACACACTCTCTTGCTTTCGAGCCACCTCCATCATCTTTATACATAACAGAAAGCACGCACACTGCATGTGCTTCTCACGTGTGCCAAACCTAACTTCACAATGTGCTTAGGGTTATCAAGAAAATGTGATCACTAGCGAACATATTTTACGTTTCTAGTCGATTTATTTGAGGTTAGTCTTTCAATGGCCCAACTGTCTCAATTGCCATGGCCACAAATTGCACCTTATTATTGAGCCCTTTTTGGATTCGGTCTAAGCCCAAGTCATATATATTTAATAAACTTGTCGAAAATATAAATTTGTATATTAGATTATAATTTTGTCCAAAATAATGAAGATATAAATTTCTATATTAAACTATAATTTTGTCCAAAAGTAGAATTAAAAAAAAAAATAGAAAAATGGTTGACAAAAAAGCACACTATATATAACTAGTGGCACCCAAAAACCAAGAGTGGTGTAACACAAACACCAATCGCATACTTGGTCACGACAAAGGTTCTCATTTTCTAATTTATTAAATCATATTTGCACAAATAATGGTCACCACAACTTCCACAAACAATAATGTTTTTCTCCCTTTAACTCAACATTACATAAATAAATAAATACAATAATATTTATCTACACAAAATTTAAAAGCAGATAATAGAAATAAATTACTAAATAAATAAATAAATAGTCTTATTGTGTATGTTGTATCATGTATGAGTACCATGCATGATTTAGAGGACTAGTTGCAACGTTTTCAATATCTTAGTATAAAAGATTCCTTCAATCTAAGATTAAGCTTTCTTGGAATATACAACACATCAACCAGTAACCAAGAACACCTTTTATTATTTATTATTAATATATTCTTTCCTAAATAAATGTTCTTATATATTCTTTAAAAGAAGATTTAATTTTTACAATGTTTAAATCTAGGGTAAATTACGAAAATTCCTGAACTTAGACTAAATTACGTAAAACACTCCACCTATCCGTAATTATCAAAATCCCCCCACGTTTGTTTTCATCTTACACACATACTCCCTTACAGTGTGATTTTTCTGAGAATCTTTTTTATTCCAGGTAATATTCCTTGAAAAATGTCAATTCTACCCCTACGGACATGTCATTTTTTATACTTTTTTTAAAAGGAAAAAATTACTCTCAGGGACATTTACACGAAATCTTTATTTTTCTTTAATAGCACATTCACAACTTTTTAGTATTATCATTACCCTATGAGACTAATTTTTATCTTTAAAAAGTAGCATAAAAAAATGCCACGTTTACGGGGGTAAAATTGGCATTTTTGCGAAATATTTCTTGATATAAAAAAGATTCCATGAGAAATCACACCGTGAGGAGGTCGGTGTAAGACTGAAACAAACGTCGAGGGAATTTTGATACTCACAGATAGGTGGAGGTGTTTTTCGTAATTTACCCTAAGTTCAGGGGCATTTTCGTAATTTACACCTTAAATCTAATTGTACAAGAATCTAATGGAATCATTCCATTGCTTACACATTATATTCTAATGATAACTAAAGAACATGTAAGGGATAATGAGAGTAAGATAAAAAACAATAATAACAACTTTAGGTTTAAACTTCACCTTAAAGCAAAAAACAAACGTACAAAAAACTATTGATTTCCATCTAAGACATAAAAAAAACATTGTAGCTTCACAAGTTTTGTCTTAACAACTGCCAACACATTCCATTTCAGACCAAGTCTACCTAATTAAGTTTGTTTCTTGAATTGCAATAACAGCATATTTTTTTAATGCCATATTTCATTTATATATATATATATTAGCATGATTTCTTGTCTACATACATTCCATTATTAGGTACAAAAACCAGAGATATTTCTCATCTAAAAAACGGACATTTTTTTTTTCGATTTCGGAAAATTGAGATTGAAAACGAAATGGCGGAAAAGGGCAAGTTTCTCCACGGAACACTTGAAATAACCATCTTTCGTGCCACGATTTACAAAACCTCCGTCCCGTTTAAGGTAAAACCAATCTTCTAACGTACGAAGTTTTTGGTACTATGTTGAAATTTTGATGATTTTAATGATTTTTTTTGTGCAGTGTATATCTGCAAATGGAAGAAGGCCGACTTACGTGACGATCAAGCTCGACAACAAAACGGTGGCTAAAACGAGCCACGAGCATGACCGGATTTGGAACCAAACGTTCCAAATCCTCTGTGCGCATCCCGCGCAAACATCCATTACAATAACCTTAAAACGGAGGCGCTCGATTTTAGGTAAAATCGAAATAGAGGGCACAAAGCTCTTAGGCGAATCGAGCCTCATAAACGGCTTCTTCCCACTGACGAAGCAAAACGGGAAAACGAACAAGAGGCTGAAACTGCAGTTCATCGTGTGGTTTAAGCCTGCCGATAGCGAAAAGAGTTGGGAGAAAGTAATAACGGAGGATAGCAATAACGGTGGTGGATATTATCAAGGCCTGAAAAACGGTGCTGCTTTTCCGATGAGGTCAAACTGCGGTGTCACGCTGTATCAAGATGCGCATCATAGTCCCGAGTTTCGACCGCCGTTGGATCTTTGTGGGACCCCCCGGAATCTTTGGGAGGATGTGTATAATGCCATTGATGGTGCTAAGCATTTGATTTATATCGCAGGATGGTCGTTCGATCCCAAAATAGCCTTGGTAAGTTAAATTACTAAAAAAATCCTCTTCTTGCTTGCGAAATTATATTACACGAATCCTAACGAAAACTACAAAAAATAATCGCAATTTCAATGATTTATAATGCGATAATATGTTTTATATATATATATATATACATATATATATATATATAGGTTCGTGATCCCGAAACAGGCATCCCGCACGCGCGAGGAGTAAAGCTCGGCGAACTACTAAAGCGAAAAGCCGAAGAAGGCGTCGCCGTGAGAATCCTACTATGGGACGACGAGACATCCCTACCACTAATCAAGAACAAAGGTGTGATGAAAACACACGACGAAGACACATTGTCGTATTTCAAACACACGCAAGTCTTATGCAAGTTATGTCCGCGTCACCACGAAAAATTCCCCGCCGTCTTCGCCCACCACCAAAAGACCATCACAACCGACGCACGCGCGAAAAGCGACCCCTCTTCAAGAAACCGCGAAATCATGAGCTTTTTGGGGGGCCTAGACCTCTGCGACGGGCGCTACGACACGCAGGATCACTCCCTCTTCCGAACCCTCAACAAGGAGTCCCACTGCTTCGACTTCTACCAGACGAGCCTCCCGAACGCCAGCCTCCACAAAGGCGGGCCCCGCGAACCCTGGCACGACACGCACGCGTGCGTGACGGGCGAAGCCGCGCTGGACGTCCTCGCGAATTTCGAGCAGAGATGGACGAAGCAAATCGACCCCTCTTCTTTAATCCCCGTTTCTTCGATCCAAGAACTCTCCCCACAACAACATAATAACGACAATGCCACCGACAATAGGAATTGGAACGTGCAAGTTTTTCGATCGATCGATCATTTATCGGCAAGCCCTTTGCCCAAGAAGCTCATGGGGGCCGAGAGTAGCGTCCACGAGGCTTACGTCGAGGCGATTCGACGTGCGGACAAGTTTATATACATCGAGAATCAGTATTTTATAGGCGGGAGCTACCTTTGGGAGGAGAACAAGCACTGCGGGTGCGTGAACTTGATTCCCATCGAGATTGCTTTGAAGGTTGTGAGTAAGATCAAGAAAAATGAGCGGTTCGCCGTGTACGTGGTGGTGCCGATGTGGCCGGAGGGTTCGCCGGAGAGCGAGTCGGTGCAGGATATACTGCATTGGACTAGAGAAACTATGAAGATGATGTATAGAATTGTAGGGGAAGCAATTGGAGAGAGTGGCGGGAAAGGGCATCCTAGGGATTATTTGAATTTCTTCTGCCTCGGGAATCGGGAGAAACCGGTGAAGGGAGAGTTTGTGCCGCCGTACAATCCGCATCCCGGTACGGATTACTGGAATGCACAGACACACAGGAGGTTTATGGTTTATGTTCACTCCAAGCTCTTGATAGGTAATGATTTCTATTGTCTCTCCTTTTTTTTTTTAATGTTGTTTTAGCAAGAACAAATAAATAAAATCATATTAAGTATCAATTTACAATTTGAATAAAAAAATTAATTTGTTTAGCCACATTTATGACAATTTAATTAACAAAGGGGGGAAATAAAGATTGTTTAATAACTTCCTTAATGTTCATCTACCTTAAACTATGAGGGGTCTATATGTAATTAAAGCTAATTTGAGGAGGACAATGTAATTTACTTATATTTGTCAAGGGGGAAATGGAATTTAGAAAGAATCAAAGGTCGAATGGGTCAAATGTATTTAATATGAAACGTGAAGGTATATGCGTAATTTTCCAAACCAAAGAGGGTCTAGCTGTAATTACATCCAACCTATGGGGAGGTAAGTGTAATTAAAACAATTGTGGCTTTAGAGGGTTTTTTTTGTCCCTTTAGAAATCCAATGATGCTTCTATTTTTCTCAATTTTACCCTTATTATTCTTAATGGGAATTTGTGGAGAAATAATTAAACACTGGATATTTTAGTCATTTATATGTTTTTTGATTTTGCCCTATGATCCATGCGTATTTATTCGTTTTCTCAATAGTTGTGTATGACCTCAAAACGACAAATATTCTAACTTACGTTGTTCTCTGTATGATTTTGATTTTGATTTTTGTTTTTTTTCAGTGGACGATATCTATCTTCTGATAGGCTCGGCGAACGTGAATCAAAGATCAATGGACGGAAAACGAGACACGGAGATAGCTATAGGCTGCTACCAATCAAGAAACGGGGAAAAAACCGAAACTAACAACAACAACTACGAAGCTATTCGTGCATTTCGTATGTCTTTATGGTACGAGCACACCGGAAGAGCCGAACAAGTTTATCGGGACCCACAGAGTTTGGAATGCATCCACACCGTTCGATCTATAGGAGACGAGATGTGGAGAGTCTACAGTCAGGATGAAGTGGAAGATATGGGAGGTGTTCATTTACTGAATTACCCTTTAGACGTAACAGGGAAGGGCTGCATTGAGGATCTTCCTCAGAACGACGGAAATTTCCCCGACACGAAAGTACCGATAAAAGGGAAAAGGTCGAAAGTCTTATCGGCAATTTTCACCACATAATTACGACGAAAACAAAAAAAAAATCCAGGCTATGTGTATCAATATTCTATTTCTGGTATAATCAATATATTGCAATTATTGTTTAAATTAAAGAAAAATTGTAATCAAACTTAAGAGCTCATAATTTAATTTAATTTAATTTAATTTTTGGGCCTATCATATCTGTATACTATTTGGAATTAAGTTACCTATTTTTGAAATTGGAGATTTTATTCCTTATTTGCCTACATTAAATCTACCAAGAATTCCAGATTAAGACTGATTGTTGCAGATTCTGCAAAACCAAACAGTCCTCAAACATTGAATATATTCCAAAATCTCGAAACACAGACAAAAAGAGGTTCATCTAATTCTTCTTCGATTCCAACGAAGAAGATGAAAACCATAAAAAACGAGAACTCACCGGAATTATGGCTCGTTGTGATTACCTTGTTTAGTATTATGCTAGGATGTCGGATCGGCTTATCGGTCAGACGAGTCTTTGAGGAGGTTTCTTTTAAACAAACTACTAACGAAGTTCCGCATTAGAGTAGCGATAAATCGTTCATTTTAATTTCTCTTTCTTTTTTTGTTCTCTGCAGGTCGGAAAAATCACCGTTCATTTCGACTCTGAGAATCTCGATTCTAGCATGCAGTCGAGTAACATGTCTAAAGTGAGTGCAAATATATTAGTAAAACTCGAAACTTATATAAAATTTCAAGGTGTCTGTAAATTTAGTAAAATTCGATATATGCAGATATACATAGCCCCAAATCCATGCAAAACCGAAGGATTAACCACACGAGTACTCGCGGGCCACCCAGATTTTTCATTACGTGTTAATGTAGGAAATGTAAGTATGTTTTGTTTGCATACAAGAACTTATATCTATTTCAGAATTTAAAAAAAAAAAAAAAAAAAAAAGCCCAAAAAAACTTACGATTTGACGATGACCAAGTGCAGGAAACTGTAAGAAAGCCGAGTTATCTTCTAATACTAACAGTTGGGATTCGACAAAAAGATATTGTGGCTAAAATAGTCTCCAAGGTTAGTGTTTCAAGAATCAAGATTACACCCCCCCCCCCCAACCCACCCCACCCCCACCCACCAACTACCTTCGGTTTCTAGGGTTGTTTAAAAAACTATATATATTTATTTTTCAGTTTTCCCAAGACTTTGCAATCATCTTGTTTCACTACGATGGGAAAACAAGCGAGTGGGACCAGTTTGAATGGTCACAAAGAGCTATTCATGTAAGTGCACTAACACAGGCTAAATGGTACGTAAAAATCTCGAACTCTAGTGATTTATATTTATGTTTTTTTTTATTATTTTATTTTAACTCGTGTTATGAAATTCGTAGGTGGTATGCGAAAAGATTTCTCCATCCGGATTTAGTAGCACAGTATGAATACATATTCATGTGGGACGAAGATTTGGGTGTCGAACATTTCAATGCACAAGAGTGAGTTTCAAGTTTGTTTCTTACCGATAATTGATTTCGAAAAATTCGAACTAATGAACACGAAAAACGAAGTCAACTACTTCAAGAAATGAAAAGAACAGTGACGAATTATAAAAGGGAGATACTTCAATGATTTTGATTTTCGACATTCGAAAGTTCATAATCAATGAAGTAGAATATTTTGCTGATATTTCCTCCGAGAAATGATTTTTTTCGTTGTTTTTTTCGGTTTTCGTCGAATTTTAAGGTACATAAGACTTGTGAAGAAATACGATTTGGAAATATCACAGCCTGCAGTTAAATCAAACACGAACTTGTCATGGAAGATGACACAAAGAAGGAAGAATGTTGAAATCCACAGGTATTTATTTATATATCTACTCTTTAAATTGGCTGAGCAACGAACATTTTTTTATAATACGAACATAATTTACGACCGAAAAATAATATTGAAAAATATAAATTCACATATTTGATGTTATTATACCAAGAAATGATCATACTTGTATTTTCCTTTTCCTTTTTTAATAATTTAAATTTCGTTGCAGGTTTTCTGAGGAACCGCCCGAGTATTGTCCCAATCCATTTTCGCCCCCTTGTGCAGGGTACATATTTATTTTATTTTCTCCTTCTAATTATATATATTATCTTAAGAAATTAAAATAATTTTTTGCATAGTTTTTTCTTAATTTTATCTTTAGCACAAATAATTATGTATTTTAATTTCTTGGGAGGTAGGTTTGTTGAAATTATGGCTCCAGTATTCTCAAGAAAATCTTGGAACTGTGTTTGGCACATGATTCAGGTATTAAATTATAATTAAGTATTCATAACTCAAAAAATTAGATAATTACATAAGGTATAATGTAATTACGAAAAAAAACCTTCCTTTTGAAAAATTACATCCAGCTCCCTGCGGTTTCTAAGTTTCCTACATCCAACCCCCGACAAAAGGGTGTTAGAAATACGCTCCGAGTAGCCCCGAA